GGGACAGAGGAGTGAGAGCAAGGGTGTACAACATCATTTGATACTATACGTGTTCTTTAGAATTAAGTATTTCTTTTCCCATATTTTGCTGTCCTGACCAGCTTCAGTTTCAAGGCTGAAAAAAAAATGAAAGGGCTTAAATAGTTTACTCAACAAAATCAAAGTTGCTTTTTTTTTTTTTAAATGATGGGCAATACCTTCTTAACTGTCTCCTCTGCATCTCCAAAATCTTCTTCAGCTTTCTGATTTGAAACTCCATTGACTGTTTACTGTCTACTCCTTCTCTCCATATTAGATCATGGTTCTAATACAGCCAAGAATTAGCCAAATTAACTCAACCACAGTGACAAGGATAAAGAGCTACCCAGAAACAAGACGGGTAAAAATATCTAGGCATCAGAAAAAGGTGGGCATAAAGTCTTTTTGTAGGGAAATGACAGGATATCTATCTGTTATCTGGTCTTAGCCTTCATGTCTATGTTCTCAGTGTGATGTTATCTCCTCCTAGAGTAATATTCATTTTAACAGTGGGAAAAGCCAAAGAAATGACTCTCTAATGGCACAATTTTAGTTATCGGTGAACTGGAAAGGGGAGAGGAGACATCATTTGGGTCAGTGTTCTATTCATAAAGTTAGCCCTCAGTGAAGTTAGTAATATTTCTGCCTTTCTCTAGAAGCCTCCAATAAAGACGACCATGTTACTAATAACGATGAAGGTAATACCTCCTCTCTTTCGTGCTCCGCTTTGGCGGCTACTGCCTCCGTTGCCACCGCCGCTGCTGCTGCTGCCGCCGCTGCCCCCGCTGCTGCCGCTGCCGCTGCTCCTGCTGCTGCTGCTGGTGTCCCTTCTTTCATAAAACTTTCTTTTCGCCCACTTCTTGACTGACAAAATGAAAAAATAAGCTGAGATCAATATTGTAGTTTCAGATGAACATTGAGGCCTTATCTTTACAGTTGCAGAGAAAGCTTGATCATTCAGGCCCAAGCCAGGACGTTAACCTGAATCATCTCAATAACTGACCCGGTCTTGGTCAGGGGAAGTATCTAAGAGTTTGACTTCCTTATTCTTTCATGGGACTTCTAAAGCTCAACATTTTCACCACATTTTTGAAGTTTGACCAATGAGACATACTGAAACCTAATGCCTCCTTTCCCACACTTACTTGTTTCAAAAAACAGCATTATTACATTGGCGTTGGCCAAAATTCATCTTCCTGCCCCATGCACTACTTTGCTCCCTGTTGTTCAATATAGATTTCTGCTTTCTTCCAACTTCTTGGCTCCTACTGGTCCACCTGGTTTGGATCTGCTCTTCCATCTCTACCGCTGATATTTGCATGCTCTCTACTGACCAATCATTGTCCCAGCTTTCACTTATTGTTCCACCTTAACTTCTAATTTGGGGGCAACTCCCAGGGTTAGACTGTCACCTCTACTTATCTCCCTCATCATTCCTTGGATTGTCTTGGATCTTCTAGTCTTTACTTTCCCACCTATCTTCCCAATTTCTTACTACCTAGTGAGACATCTATGATATCTTGAAGCAACAAAAAGGCATGGCCAAAGAGGGCAAAATACGGCTAAATGATTGCTAGGGATCGTTGGATTCATGAAATGGGCCCAGATCCTGGCTGTATGGAGATTTCTTCCTATTGCCTGCAGGTGGACTGATTCCCACTTGTCATTCTGGCTCAGAACAATTGGATTTGGTCATCCCTTATCTTTGCTACCCCACTCCCCACTGCAGCCATGTTATTTTCCTGCCCCCCCCCCTCCCAATATAGCTCTCCTATTATTGCCTTCCTCTTTAACAATGACTCACCTAGTCCTTTCTGGAATTGGACCTTGCCCCTACAGGAAGCACAGGAAAGCCTTCCTGGCGGGTTGCAGATAAAGGTCTCAGTATTAAGTTTTCTTTGCTGTGTCTATAGTCTGAATACTTATCTCATCTCCTGCTTGTCCCGACTGCTTGCCTCAGTGCTGATCTTATGGCCTTCTATGCTCTCAGGTTTCCACAGATCTCCTGCTTCCCCAAAGTCTTCTGAGTCTTTGACCTTCTTTTCCTTGCCCTTTGTTGTCATTATCATGCTGGTTTGATCTCTGCCATCTTTCTCCTGTTCTCTGATTCCTTGAATAACTGCCTCGCTTCTGATCCATTGCTTTACTGGGCCCTCTACTTTGCCTGCCTCTACTTTGGACTACTACTTACCTGGCTCCAAACCTTTCAGGGACCTGTGACCATTGACCACCTCTCCCATCGCCTCTGACATAAACAGGCACACCCAAGAAAATCAGGAGTGTCTCTGCAGTTGGCATTAAGGATGCAGTTGTCACTTACCTCGTGACACAGCCATCATGACCTAGCCCTTTGGTGCATGGCCCAATGAACCAGGCTTTTCCAAACACATACACATCCCAGGGGAACACAAAGAAAGGCTGACGGTATAAGCCACCCAGGAAGCCAGAACTGTATAATTCTGCCAAGATGATGTCTTACTAGATTTTTAGTTCTCCCTCCTATCAGTCAGCTCTAGCAACATATTATAAAGGCAAATTTAGTAAGACCAAAGGCCAAGGCTTTGCATGATTTTATACACTGCTTAAGGACCCCTTAGAGCGGCAGAGGGGCTGAAGGTCATATCACAGCTTCTGTCAGTAGAAGTAGTTGCTTGCTCTCATAGCTCAATTGCTGTCTTCCTCCTTGACTGTGGTCATAGCACCCCTGACTCTATCTTAACCCCTGAGATTGATTTCCTACCTCCTGTGCATTTGACTTATGACCCTTGCTTCTGTCTTAACAGCTGACTTCTTGGCACATTCTCTGCTCCCTACACTGCCACCTTGGCTCTCTTGATATCAGTCCTTGGGTTGGCAGGTCTAAGGGAATATATTCATTTGGGGATTCCTAGGATCATTGAAGACCTAGCAAATAGCACTTTAAAGCCTCTAGGGTCCCCCCACCAAAGTGATACATGTCCCCTAGGGAAATGAGATACATGGCTGGCTCTGACCTCCTGGAGTCACACTCAGCTAAAAGAAGGCACCTTAAGAGACTTGATCCAATAATGTCCAAGATCAGAGGCATCCTTTACTCTATATCTTCTCATCCTCTCAGGTATGCTTCAAGGGAAATAACTATAGAATAGTGGAGAAAGCACTAGCGTGGAAATCTGGAGACCTAAAGTCTAGCCTTGGCCCTACCACTAACTGAATTGGAAAAGTTAAAATTCCTCTAGGTCTTAGTTTCTTCATCTACCAAATGAAAGGTTTGGACTAGATGAACTACAAAATCCTTTCCAATTCTAACATTCTATGAGTCTATTGCGGACTCAAGACTCATAACGTCATTGAAGTGTGAATGAGTTACTGGTCTTTGTCACCACTGACTACCAGTAAGTCAGCATAGCTTCAAGGAAATACAGAGGTGGGATTATTCACTATCAGTGTACTAAACCCACATACCTAGAAGAGGCTATGACTAACACCTCTCTTTGTGTTAATAGAGGGAATTGGGCTGGTTTTTTTTTTTTAATAATTTCAACCTATAGAAATTGCAGGAGTGGGGGAGGGAAATAATCTGATCTATCTTATATCAACAAAACCTTGGGATCTCACTGTATCCCAAACAACATTAGTTGCTGAAAAGGATGTGATCCCATCTCAATTGAGTTTGCCATAAAGGAGGAAGCCCCTTCCCTCAACCCCAACCCCTGCCTCCTAGACTCTCTAGCAGTGATTGATTCCCTGACTTGAAAGCAGAGGACATAACATTTGAAATGCTGTTCTGGAGACCCCAGGAAAGGTTTAGTTGCCTTATAGGTACTAAAAGGCAGCATGGTTTAATGGAAAGAATACAGCAATCAAGAGGCCCAATTCTTCACCTCAACTTTATCACTAAGAGATCTCCAGGCTAATCAGGGGAAATAACTCAATCTCTTCAAATGTCATCTGTAAAATAGTGGGACTAGACTATGTGATCTCTAAGACGCCTCCTTCTGGCTTGGGAATTGATGATTTCACATCTATAAAAGGCTTTGTATCTGATCAGATACACAGTGGACCCACTCCCAGTTGATCCTTCCTCTTCCCATATCCAGCTTAATGCCATATCTGAGCTGTAGCTACTGGAGTCTATAGCAAATCAATATCTATCTTCCAGCAAATAATTTTCCAAGCTCCCTTACAGAACTGATATTTTTACAAAGACTGAAAATGTTTCTTAAAAAAAAAAAAACATCCAACCCACATACAAACGATATTGTTTGCTCTTCTATTGTAACTAAAGTTTCAACGTCATTCTATTGAGTCCTTTTCCCCCATCCCCTTTAAGCCATGATTCTGTTTTGTCAGCTGCTGACATTCCACTTTCTCTGGAATACACACACTGGTCTCTATGTGGTCAGTTCATTGACAGGTGCAAACAGCTGACAATTAAACAATAGGTGGAGGTGATAATAAATAGTGATATTAGCTGATATAAAAAGACGACTTCACAAACTAGGAGGAAGGTAAATAAAATCAGCTGCGGGGAAGAATTCAGGATGATGACTCAGCAACACATTTCCTAAACATCTATTAACTGGTTTTTCAAGTCTCTTAAGTGCTTAAGATAAAACATATCGATGAAACTTTAGTTATTTGGAAAATGAACACTATGGTTTCTAAATTTTGTGAAGCTTAATAAAACAGAATAATTTTCATTGAGTAGAGAGCCACAGAATGGATTATATCCATTCTTATCCCTTTATTCCCTCCCTTTCTGCAAAATAGTTCAATCACTAAATTTTCTCTTAGAATTTGGCCAAATATTCTACTTTACCCTTTCAAGAAGGATCTGTGATTTCATCAGTATGAAGAAATCCTGATGAGAGAACTCCCTCCACCAATGCAGATAGCAACTCGTGTATGACTTAGCAGGTAAGTCCTGGGAAGTTACCTTAACATCTGTCGGTTAAGTAACTCATTCAGTCAGTATCAGAGGTGAGATTTGAACCCAGGTTCTCCTGACACCAAACCCAACCCAGTAATCACTACGCAATGTTGTCTCAATGTCTTACTAACTGACCCAAAATCAGAAACAAAGTGTTTTTTAAAAATATTTTTGATGTTTTTATATCTGAGAAAAATATTTTAAAAAACATCAATGCTTAGATTGCTTTGAAATCAGTTTATAACAAAGGGCATTCTTTAAGACTGGGACAATGACAAGTCATTGTCTGTACTATGGGAATGACATTCGCATGGTAAAGGGACACATATATCCTAAGCATGTCTTCTTTCTCCTCCTGATGATCAGTGTAATGGACAAATTATGATTTTTTTCTATATCTCTGCAAACATTACCTTTGTTCACATTGTGCCCAGTCATGATTAATAAAAGAAATAAATAATAGAACTTACCATTGTTGTCAATGTTTCGCTTAACTCCCTTTTAATTCTTGAAAAATAACACTATTGGAATCATCTTTCTGCCTCATCACTAAGATTTCTTCCTCTCCCCCAAGCCCTTGTGTATGCAGATATTTTCTATTTAACTTCCAGTTGATCAATTACTATTTTAGAGCACTTATTACTTGCCAGTACCATGTTAGGTTCTAAGCAGACTACAAAAAAATCAATGTGACAGACTGTCCTCATCCAGCTTGTAATCTGTTTGGTGAGGAAAGGCTTACGAATAAGAAACAATTAGAGAATAATATACAAGACAATTGGTAATCAAGTACTGAATCATGTGGTACAGACCCAATTGCTGTCCTGGTTCTGTTTGTTTGAAGTGGCACCAGCACAATGTCATATGCAAGAAGGCATGTCATACTTCTATGAACTGATGCTGAGGGAAGTGAGCAAAACCGAGATAATATTGTATATAGTAACAGCCACAT